GTTTTATCATTTATCTAAGCCGAGTTATATGCAAAATAAAAATTGTTGCAACATTATGAACACTGTGGCAAAAAAGAACAAGTGACTTTTCTTCTAATACACTTTTTATACTTTAAACTGCATTTTATGGTCAATATAAATATACCAAAAGATGCAGCGCATTCCGGGCTTTCTTCTTATATATAGTAGGTTAATAGATAAAAAAAGTATATTAATAAAAAACACAAAATTCGAAGGGTATGCTTTCAATGTGTGTGGACTGTATATAGATCTTCTATATTCTTTTAAGCTAATTGATCATAAGATAAATGAGAAAAGGATTTTAGTTTTACACATAGGAAAGCAGAACAACAAGATTGTTTTCATGGCTTCACAAATATCAGATGCATTACTTCTTTGATAATGATCTATTATATTTATAGAAGAAGTATAACCTAGAACGTAACTAGACCTCTATTGACGTGAATACAGAAAATAGTGCTTTGTATTTATGCTTGTCAGATTCGAGTAAGGAAAAAATCTGATATTATTTGCACTGAAGTAACTACAAAAATTATTCTTAGCATATAGAAAGCAATTCATCGTTACGGTGATTCTTGATGAAGATTTTGTTTGACATAACGATGAGTTGATAAGAAAGATTAAAAAAAGTAATGCTGTCGAGATGATATTTATAGAAAAAAAAAGATAAAATCATAATTAAAATATTCAGAAAATGATGAAAGTTTTCATAAGAGAAAATTATATACTATGTTGAACTGTACGAAACAAACTAAACATACCATACACAACATCATTCTTCTCTCGAATTCTAATGAAACGTTTAAAAGCACGGCAATATAACAAGAAAAATTTGCTGAAAATTGCAACAAAATCTTATCAACTTGAATAAGAATTGATGATCCATTATTTTCAAGAACAACTCATTTAATAAAGATTATTTTTAATTGCCTCATAGTATTAGAATTCTATTTAATCAGTCATGAACAATTATAAAACAAAGAGAATATCAAATCTCAACTAGATCATAACGAGGATCTATAATTAAGGACGAAGTTCAGATCAATAAAATCATTTGGAAAAAAGTGTGAATCGTGGCATGGAACATTTCATATATCAAACTATATTCCTAGACTATTGATTTAGTTGATAAGCAACTGACGCAGTAATTTCTTTAGATACAACTAATCAATTCTTTTCTAAATTTTCAGAGGGATATGTAAAAGATGCGAACAGCACTAAAATAAAAACTGCCATTCTTAGTAGTTAGAGCACGTTATGTTGATTTCATACGCATCAATACAACTTAAACACTAAATCTTTGTTACCACCCATATAAAAAACTTTAGTTTGTAACTAACGCCGACTTAAACTAAATATAAATTAAAAAAAGAAAGACTCTTAATATGATTGTGTTTGATAGATAGTGAGAAGCTATGTTCTGGATCCGAATCGTATTACGACTTCGTTTATATATGCCGAACTAAATTGTTGTTGTTCATTAGACAATATCACTTGAACAAAATTTATTTCTATATTCATAATGCAATTAACTATTGTCTTCTCATGTAACGTTCTTTTGCTTTTACATGGCAGAAAACTTTGTAAATCTCTGAAAAATTTTTTTTTCTTTCTGGTCAAGTTGAACTGGAATAAATTTAAGTCGTGTTTGAACCAACTCAGATTGAGTTGGACTACCGAAAAAAGACTGCCAATTTCGAGACCTTGTTCGAAATGAACTCAAATTGAAACTAGTTAACTTTGAACGATGTGTTCGATGTGTCACTCTAAATGCATAAATTTATAATTTTAACATAAATCCTGCATAGAGTGAGTAGTAAGTGAGATTCTTCATCGAATGAGAGTGTGGGTGTGGGTGGGTGTGGGGTGTGGGTGTGGGTGTAATGTGTGGATGCGGGTGTGGGTGTAGATGTAAGTGTATGGGTTTCAGTGTGGGTAAAGAGGTAATTCAAATCCACAACCACCCCACACTCCAGCCACATCTACACCCCACACCCACACCCACACCCGCGATATGATGAAGTACCTAATGAGCATTTAGAGAGCTTGGATGTACCTGTGGATGAACTGAATATCTGTATCCTCAGTCACAACTATCCTAGGTCAAACTACTAATTATTCTCTTCATTTAGCCATAAGCATGCCCACTTGAACAAAAAGAGTAAACTTACTTGACGAACCGGTTGTTGCTGTAGTCATTGTAGTAGAAGTTGTGCTCGCGCTTGTGCTTGTGCTTGTGATAGAAGTCGTTCCATTGTCAATAGTAGTGGTCGTTGCAGTAGAAGTCGTGCTCGTATCAAAGGGGAAAAGGCATACTTCTGTACTTCTTGTACTTCTCCGTACTTCTCCGTACTTCTTGTACTTCTTCGTACTTCCTGGTACTTCTCGATACTTCTTGGTACTTCTCCGTACTTCTTGGTACTTCTTGAGACTTCTCGGTACTTCTTGATACTTCTCCATATTTCTCGGCACTTCTGTCTCCGAAAACAGAACAAAAATGTTCTGTTATTACGAAATGGCAAAAATTCTGTTCCCAACAACAGAACAGAAATGTTCTGTTATTGGGAAATCGCAAAAATCCTGTTCCCAAAAACAGAACAAAAGTGTTCTGTAATTCGGAATTCCCAAAAAAAGAACACTTTTGTTCTGTTTTGAGGTAAAACTCAAAGGGGAAAACGCGTACTTCTTTTGTACTTCTCTGAATTTCTTGGTACTTCTGTATACGTCTTGATACTTCTTGGAACTTCTCGGTACTTCTCGGTACTTCTTGAGACTTCTTGGTACTTCTGTACTTGTGCGTACTTCAGAGGTACAGAAGTATGCCTTTTCTCCCTTGGCTCGTGCTTATGCTTGTGATAGAAGTCGTTCCATTGCCAATGGTAGTGGTCGTTGCAGTAGTTGAGGCAGTGGTTGTTCTAGTAGTTGTGGAAGCAGTCGTTGCAGTGGTTGTAAATCCTAGCGTAGTTATTAGTACAATAGCTCGCATGAAAAACACACAGCAGCAACATTAGAGCAACAATATGTGTTTCATACATTGTCAAATTTGCAAAATTAGAAGTTAGAATTTCGGAGAATACGCACACTCACAGCAAAGCTTATATATGTCAATCTTTTTATATGATACTCCTAAAGTGAACCAGTGTTTGGCTAAAACTGTTTCTGTAAAATTTACACTCAATCTTTAAGCTTTGTTTAGTAAATAAAAGTCTTTACTCATCATCTCTTGCTTGCTAGATAGACTATATTCAACGTGCGAAATCAGTCTCGGCATACCTGTGCTTGTAGTTACGGTTTGTTTTGTGAATGCAAGAATTGTTGCATATACGGCAACAACTATAACCCCAAACGCAAATGCACTAATTATTGGTATGATGCAACTAGACGCTGGACATGTTTTCATATCAATTATAAAGGCACCTCTTCTTGAAGCCCTAAAAAAATAACAGTTCATGCAGTCAGAGACGCTTTATCTATCGCGATGAATAAGAATCGATCCTCTGAGTATTACCAACTTGCTGAAATCATCGGATGATGATTCTCGTTTGCTCAATTTTGATGACATTCGTGATAAAGAATGACCATTCACAGGAGTTTTAATTGTTCGAGATCGACTCATACGTATACGCCAACAATTATTTTGATTCGAATACTGACAGTATACCTTTGAAGGAAAAAAACTTATTTTTATTTGGAATCGTTGATTAAAAGGTAAATCTAACCAATGCTTCGATAATATGCGGAAGAATCTGAGTACCTGAAACTGATTTTCGAATCACATTGTCTTTAGTACGTCGAATGTTTGGCTACGTTAAAACAAATCTTGCAACAATATTTTGAATTTTCAATACTACTCTCTGACGAAGAAGATTCAATAGTATTAAAGTCTCCTCTCTCTGACGAATTATTTTTCTTGGTAAATTCACTACAAAGGTTTCATTCATTGTATACTAATAAGACGAAAAAAAGATTACCACTACCAGCGAAGTGAGTATACTGTTCTTTTTACAATCATTAATACAACCTACAAAGTGTCGACAAAGAGTGCTTGCACTTCTTGTATTATTCGATCAAAGCTAAATTTTAAGATTTCATACGGACAGGCCAACGAAGAATTTCAAAATTCTCTATTCAAACCGATGAATAGAGTATAACAGTATTGCACTTTTTTCATTAAGTCTCTTCAATCAGGACAAATTCGAAATGTAATTCATGTCTCTATAGCATCAGTTTCTGCTCCATTGTTTATTGAAAAATTGAATTATTTAAATTACTCGGCAGAGAGGGTACGTGTGGAGCTGAATCGAACACCATGCACACTCACATCCAGGAAGAGACACATTCAGATTTCGGGGGAGACTCACCTACACGCGCAGCCGTAGCTATACGAACACCAACATCCACACCCACAGCCACACAGTGCTGCACATAGCGACAATCACACCCAGACGCGCACACGCACACCCACAGGCCCACATCCATACTCACAACTTCACCCAGTCAACCACACCGACACGTACCCCCACATCCACACCCACACTCACCGGTGTTGCAACCGGTACCGGGAAACGACCGGTCCGGTCTAGGATTTCTTAGCGGCCGGTAGAAACGACTTTTTTCAGACCGGCCGGTCAACAATTTTTCTCGATTTTTTGCTTAATTTTTGGTCATTTTTTGCAAAAATAGAGCAATGGAGTGTTTATTTTTGCATGATAAACAAGTTTTCCTGGTGTCCATAAAGGTGTGAGTGTGAGTGTGGGTGTGGATGTGAGTGTGGGTGTGGATGTGAGTGTGAGTGTGAGTGTGAGTGTGGGGTGTGTGGGGTGTGTGGGGTGTGTGGGGTGTGTGGGTGTGTGGTATGAATGTGGCTGTGGGTGTGGATGTCGGTGTGAGTGTAGGTGTGAGTGTGGGTGTGAGTGAGGGGTGTGTGGGTGTAGGTATAGGTGTGGGTGGGTGTGTGGTATGGGTGTGGGTGTGAGTGTGGG